CCCCCCCCCCCCCCCCCCCCCCCCCCCCGACGGAGTATGTAATTAGGGGGTACGCAGTTGTTCCGTGCCCCAGCAGCAGCTTGAGAGGCAGCGTGAATTCGTTCGACATGTCGAGCACAAGACAGAGAGATAGAGCAGAGAGTAACAGCGACGAGAGACATGCAGCAACTGCTGTGATGGCGACTCAGTATTTTGTGTGTGCGCGTATGATGTGTGGTTGTACCTGTTGATGCACACGCTTGGAGGAGAGGGTACATCCACGCTGCTCTGCGGTTGGTTCCTAACCGAAGCACGGACAGGCAGCTGTTACGAACGTATACACTACTGGTTGCTGCGCTGGCAACCCCGTGCTGCTGTAGCTCATGGCAGTAGGAAGCCGCTGTGTTGAGTATAGTAGTAGACATGCGGCCCAGCAGCAACAGATGGGTTGCCTGCTGTGCTGCTATGCCTGCTGTGTGAATACTGAATGTGTGTAGACTCTGCTGCTGTGTAGTAGTTTGGCGTTTTGGTTTTCCGGGGACGCGCCTCCCGCAGCCCAGGGCACAAGGAAGCGAGATATATGTCCGGAGGTGTTGCACTCCCCGCCCCTCCCCCGGTTTGAAGACTTTGTTAAGACAGGGTATGCATTTGTTCCGTGCCCCAGCAGCAGTTTGATTCAGTCGAGAGGGGAAGCTGCAAGCAACTTTATAACTGCTGTGATGACGACTCGTATGTCATGTGTGCGCGCATAATGTTTGCTTGTACCTGTTGATGCACACGCTTGGAGGAGAGGGTACATCCACGCTGCTCCGCGGTTGGTTCCTAACCGAAGCACAAGCAGATAGCTTCTACGAACGTATACACCACTGGTTGCTGCGCTGGCAACCCCGTGCTAGTGTACAGCTAGCTCATGGCAGTAGCAACCGTCTGTTGGTTTACACTAGTAGACACATGTAGCCCAGCAGCAACAGATGGGTTGCCACCTGTTACTACGCACTGCTGTGCCTGCTGTGTGTACTGAATGTGTAGTTTACCTGCTGTGTTGCTACGCACTGCTGTGCCTGCTGTGTGTACTGAATGTGTAGGCTCCTGCTGTGCAGTAGTTTGGCGTTTTGGTTTTCCGGGGACGCGCCTCCCGCAGCCTAGGGCACAAACAAGCGAGAAATATGTCCGGAGGTGTTGCACGCCCCGCCCCCCCTCCCCCGGTTGGAAAACTTTGTAAAGACCGGGAATGCAATTGTTCCGTGCCCCAGCAGCAGTTTGGTTCAGTCGAGAGACGCAGCGTGAATTCGAGCACAAAGAGAGAGAGACAGAGAGATACGTGCAGCAACTGCTGTGATGACGATGCCGTATGTAGTGCGTGGGCCTATGATGTGTGGCTGTACCTGTTGATGCACGCGCGTGGAGGAGAGGGTACATCCACGCTGCTCTGCGATTCCTAACCGAAGCACAGACAGGTAGTGCTACGAACTGTTAAAGAGAAGTACACTGTTTGCTGCGCTGGCAACCCCGTGCTGCTTGGTAGCAACCTTTTGTACTTGTGTTGCTATGCTACTGCTGTTCCTGCATGTGTGCTGAGTGTGTGTGTAGTCTGCTGCTGTGTTGTAGTTTGCCTTTTTGGTTTTCCGGGGACGCGCCTCCCGCAGCCCAGGGCGCAA